TTCATTTGTTTTAGTTCATTCTGTTTCAGTTAATTCATTTATAGGGCATTGGGACTTCATGTGGCTACTTTGGGCATCTGTTATTTTTAAGAATTTATGATTTATAAAAATGATTATAGCATTTATAGTTTCAAAGGAATTTCATATATATTTTCTTAATTGTTTTAAACTTTACAAAATGCACATAAGGCTAGGATTTCTATTATTATTAAATCTTACAGATGAGAAATGAAATGTATCTAACCAATGGGTAAGCCAGAAATGGAACCTCAGTCTTCTAACTCTAAACGGTATTATAATATGCTTTACCACTAGAAATCTGATTTATTAAGTTATTTTAGTTGACCAAATTAATACTTTTAAAGAACACACTGTCAAGTTACTGATTCTCACTGCATGAAAAAGCCAAATTGAACAGTAAGTATAAATTCTCTTATCTTTCAAGGTATTTGAAGGCTTAAGTTTTCTACAAAATAAAAAGTGTGTATTTTTTCTTTTTTTCTCATATCTTTTCTAAACTACCACTTAAAAACATTTCTATTTCTGCATTTCCATTGGTCACTCTCATGTGCTTGTTGAATTTGGTAATCCTGTTTGAGACAGCTCCTTTAACAATGCTGTCACAGTTCAGGGAGCCTTGGCATGACATACGTAACCCTTCTGTATGGTATTCTCTCTGGCATTACATTCTTACATTACATTCTCTCTGGCATTGCATTCTTTCACTTTCCATTTTGTACTTTTCTCTCTTGCTTTATTTGTATGTAGTGTTCTGAAGTCCAAGTAACAAAATGTCATTTGGAAGTTATGTGAATTATTCGTAAATTTCATAAATATGTTTGTAAGGAGTTATTGAATTGTTCGTGATGGTGATCCATGAAATAACTAAGAAAATTTGTTTGATTTTTAATGATTTCAGCCAATAAAAAAGTATAGAAAATAGTATAACAGACACCCATTTACCCATCACACAAATGTCATAGAGATTGACGTTTTGTAATATTTAGGAGTTTTTTTAAGTAAATAAAAAATTACAGATACAGCTAAGGTCATACATAAATAACTGCTATTCCTTTTTCTCCATCTTCACCTCTTAACCTACATGGTAACCATTATCCTGATGTTGTTTATTATCCTTATGCATGGTTTTTATTCTTTTGTTTGACATATATATATACTAGCAGCATATAATCATCTTTTGTGTATTTTAAAAAATACACATTAATGTCTCACTGAACCTTAGTATTCTGCATTGTAAATAATTGTTTTAATAATTGTACAAGTAGATCTATTTGTTTTCCTAACAATAGACAATTAGATTATCTCTATTTTTGTCAGTTATGAATACATACAAACAGTACTACAGTGAACAGTTTTATACATGCCTTTTTGAGCACTTGTATGTTTCTTGGATAGATATTTAAAAGGGGAATTGCTGGGTCATCTAGACCAGTGTACACGATCTTTAACTTTACTAGGCATTTCCAAATTGCTCTCCATATCTTCCCAGCACACTGTGTTGAAAAGACTGTCCTTTGTCTACTGTGCTGCAATGTCACCTTTGTCAGAAATCAAGGAACTGTATACATGTCAGTCTGTTTCTGTGCTTTCCATTCCACTGGTTATATATGTATATTATTGTGCCAAATCACACTTCTATAATTGCTATAGCATTATAATATTGAGTCATCCAGTTCATGAACATGGTATATTCCTTCACTTAATTAGGTCTTCTTTAATTTCTTTCGATAATGTTGTGTAGTTTTCTGTGTAGAGTCTTGCTCATTTTGTTAGATTTATTCCTAGGTATTTGATTTCGTTTGATACTATGGTAAATTGTATCATTAAAAATGTTTTATTTTGAATTACAGGTTGAGCATTCGTAATCTGAAAATCTAAAATCTGAAATGCTCCAATGAGCATTTCCTTTGAGCATCATATTGTTGCTCAAAAAGCTTTGGATTTCAGAGCATTTTAGATTTTATTCAGAATGCAAATATTTCAAGATCCAAAAAATTGAAATTGGAAACACTTCTGTCTCCAAGTGTTTTTGGATAAGTGATATTCAACCTGTATTTGTTGCTAAAATATAGGGGAAAAGTTGATTTTTGAATACTGAACTTGTATCTAAAGTTCAGTTTTTAAAGATTTCCTTGGATTTTCTGGGAGCACAATCATGACGTATAGGAATAATGAGTTTTACTATTTGCTTTCTAATCCTTATACCTTTTATTTTTATTTCCCTTTCCTGCCCCGGTTTTTTCTTTTCTTTTCTTTTCTTTTTTTTTTTTTGAGATGGAGTCTCGCTCTGTCACCCAGGCTGGAGTGCAGTGGCACGATCTCAGCTCACTGCAAGCTCCGCCTCCTGGATTCACGCCATTCTCCTGCCTCAGCCTCCCAAGTAGCTGGGACTTCAGGTGCCCGCCACCATGCCCAGCTAATTTTTGTATTTTTAGTAGAGACGGGGTTTCACCGTGTTAGCCAGGATGATCTCGATCTCCTGACCTCATGATCCACCCGCCTCAGCCTCCCAAAGTGCTGGGATTAAAGGCGTGAGCCACCGCGTCCGGCCTCATTTTTTTCACAAGTGAATGTTGAATTTTTTCAAATGCTTTCTCTGTGTTATTGGAGATAATTGTATGGTTTCTTTATTCTGTTAATGTGGTGAATTACATTGATTGGCCTTTGAATATTAAACCAACTTTGTATTTCTCGAAAGCTCTAAGTGGTTTATATAACCTTAGATTGACTTATTAATAGTTTGTTAAGAAGTTTTGCATGTATATTTATGGGTGAAATTGGTCTGTAATTTTTCTTGTAATGTTCTTATCAGGTTTGGATATCAATGTTCGTGATATCCAAATCTGAAATTATTTGGGAAAAATTCTTGTTTTGTTCACTAGAAGAATTTTTGTAATATTGGTGCTATTTCTTTCTTAAATGTTTGCAAGAATTCAGTAGGGGTGTTCTCTGCATTTAGAGTTTTTCTTGTGGGCTTTTACAAATTTAATAAATATAGGATTGTTAGGTTTTCTATTTCTTGTGTCATTTTGTGATTTTTAAAAAAGGAGATAAAGACATGTATTAAAAAAGAGATTAAAGAGATATAAAATATTTGATCATGTCAATATTTGATTATTTTATGACAGGCTTATTTTTTAATCTCTGTAGAATTCATTTTGTTTTTATCATTAGTTTTATCATTGTTTTATGACATGCTTATTTTTTACTCTCTGTAAAATTCATTTTATTTTTATCATTAGTTTTATCATTCTGCTTATATGAAACTACTTTCCAGGTTCTTACTGTGTTAAGCTCTTTCTGTCACAAGAAACAGATATACTCAAGTTCCTTCAAGTAATGGAGATGTATTAGGTGCAATATAAAGCCATATGGTGCCATAAGAGAAAGGAATTACACAGGAAGAGAAGGATCTCTAGCACAGTTTGGCATTAGGGAGACTGGAAATGTGTAGCTAATTAGAATACGATACAGCTTTAGGGATGGAACAGGTTTTCTTTTTATCCCCCATTAGCAACACTTTATAAGGCTTTACTTTGATACCCAGTTGTTTATGTGAAGTTTCTCACTTCATTTTGGCTTTTATCTTTCCTTCCTTTCATTACTAACTATCCTCTTTACCCCTGGTCTAAATAATTTTTCATCGTACCTTTTATTTTCTCATAACTACTTACTCATGATCCCCGGTGCCTTGTGGCCTGTTTCTGTGATTCTTTTTAGCCTCTCTTCAAGCTACCAGGTAACTGAACCTCTCTCATTCTCGGTTAACTCCCAAAAGATTATTTGATTGGCCTAGTTTGAGAAGCTTTTATGCTAGGCGCATTGGCTGGTTCTGGCTTTTTTTTTTTTTTTTTTTTTTTTTTTTTTTTTTTTTTGAGATGGAGTCTCACTTTCACACGTGTTGCAATGCAGTGGCGTTATCTTGACTCACTACAACCTCCACCTCCTGGATTCAAGCGATTCTTGTGTCTCAGCCTCCTGAGTAACTGGCATCATCACACTCAGCTAATTTTTGTACAGTTGGGGTTTTGCCATGTTGGCCAGCCTGGTCTCGAACTCCTGGCCTCAAGCGATCCACCTCCTTGGCCTCCCAAAGTGCTGAGATTATAGATGTGAACCACCATGCTTGACCGGCTTGGCTACTCTTGACCAGGCAGCTATTGCCAAAGGGTGGGATTCACATAGCACAGAGCATGGATGCCCTGGGCTAACTCCTCTGCCAAGGGCTGTATTTGGACAATTTCCCTTAGCAGGGGTGTGTACCTGGAAAATACTATAATTGATCAATACAGAGAAGTTCTAGAAAATTAAGTTGTTGCAAGAGTTATAGTTCTGCCTCCTCCACATGCTCTGGTGAATGCTAGTAAATAATTAAATGCTGATAAAGCAATGTCTAGAATTTGATGTTATAAATATCTTTTAATAGTCATCTACCTGTAACTGAAAAATTGCTTCCAAAATTATATGTGCTGCCAACCCCAAATAGGGCTGTGGGCAATTAGATATGTAATACCTGTTGTTTTAAGATGGACAAATGAAAATTGATAGACTTTAAACATAAGCAATAGGTAGAACATGCACATAGGCAGATTAAAAAATGCTTAATGAGAAAGCCATAGCAGTTATCCACTTCTGGTCTTATTTCCTTTTTAATACCCAGGAACAGCTGTGTGTGCTGCTAAGAATTTACTTTTCTGCAGTATCACACAGTTCAGGTTGAAGGACTCTATTTAAAAACTGGACAAAAACCACCTTCTATTTTCTGTTTTCTTTGCAACTATGGCCATAGAGACACAGTTCTGGTCAGTGAAATGTAAGTCTTCTGGGAGGATCCTGGATTCTGGAGGACCGCTTTCCTTTTGTGATATTTATGTTGCAAAGTAATGTTTTGCCTAATGCCTTTCCATTTATGAGACAATTGTGGATATTATCTAAAAACGTTTCTGGTACAATAAGTGAAATTCCTTTCTAATTTTTAGGAGGACTCAGAGAGAGTAATGATAATTACTGGACCAAACATGGGTGGAAAGAGCTCCTACATAAAACAAGTTGCATTGATTACCATCATGGCTCAGATTGGCTCCTATGTTCCTGCAGAAGAAGCGACAATTGGGATTGTGGATGGCATTTTCACAAGGTAAGTACGTTAATTCAGTTTGAATATATTCTTGAAAATAAGTCAAGCCCACATTATCACATGAATTTTCCTTTTGTGTACATATTTAGATGCTCTTAAAGCATTCATCATTTAGGAAAGGTCAGGCACGGTGGCCCACACTTGTGATCCCAGCACTTTGGAGACCAAGGCAAGAGGATCACTTGAGTCTAGGAGTTTGAGAGCAGCCTGGGCAACATGGAAAAACCCCATCTTGACAAAAAATCAAAAAATTAGCCAGGAACCTGAGGTGGGAGGATCACCTGAGGCTGGGGAGGTTAAGGCAACAGTGAGCCAAGGTCACACCATTGCACTCCAGCCTGGGCAACAGAGTGAGACCCTGTCTCAGAAAAAAAAAAACAAAAAGAAACTATTTTTATCATGACTGATAATACTAGAAAGAACTTAGGAGTTAATTTTGTCCAGTAGTTTCCAAATTATTTTTAGTTATTGAGTTCTTTTTTATTTTATTTTATTTATTATTATTATTATTTTTTTTTGAGATGGAGTTTGGCTCTTGTTGCCTAGGCCAGAGTGCAGTGGCACTATCTCGGCTCACTGCAAGCTTCACCTCCCCAGTTCAAGCTATTCTCCTGCCTCAGCCTCCCGAGCAGCTAGGATTACAGGCACCCGCCACCATGCCCAGCTAATTTTTGTATTTTTAGTAGGGACAGTGTTTCGCCAGTTGGCCAGGCTAGTCTCGAACTCCTGACCTCAAGTGAGCCGCCCGCCTTGGCCTCCCAAAGGGCTGGGATTACAGGCATGAGCCACCACACCCAGCTGAGTTATTATTTTGAAGAAAACCTTTTGTAGAAAATAAATATTTAAACAGATAAAAACAGATCTGCTCTGTCTTCCAGGGGTAGAAGGCTTGGAGACTTGGCTGTTAGGCTTTGTAGAGCACAGTCTGAAAACTAGTCCATCCTTCCCATTTTAGGTGCAGACCTGAGACAAACTGCAAAAGGCATTGGACCGAGATCATTTTGTTGATATCCCTTTTTACTCTACGAACATTACATGCAACTAAGTCTTACCCTCAATGTGTAAACCTAAATTTTATGCCATGTTACGAATATGAGTGAAACATCCTGGTTTCACTAAGGAGAATTCAGAGTTTAATCTGTTTAACACCTTCTGATTTATCAGTTCTTAAAGCATTGTGTATATGTCTTACATGTACATTTCTAAAAAGTAAATACAGTCTCTGTGCATAGTCAAGCTCTGTGTATAGAGTGTCTGAGTTGTTGTCCAGCTACATATTTATATAATATTTGACTATGGAATCAAATCAGAATATATCACATGCTAATGTTGATATTCTTGAGTAGACACTAAAATGCTTTAAAAAACTTCATTTTCCATCTGAGAATGAACAAAGTACCCTGAATTCTGTTTGATGCCATGTCACCAAATAGGTGTTATTCTGATCCCCATATATGTTTAACTCAAAATAAGAAATTTAAAGAGTCTTTCTTTAGTTCTTAAGTCTGTAATTCATTTTCTATTTTATAAGAGAAACAAACCAGATATTTTATTTTGGTTACAGTATTAAGGAAAGTAACAGAGATATTTAGTGAAGAAAAAAAAAGAGAAAAAAAGAAAAAAAGTATTGGTCAATATAAGGGGATTTACCTGGAAGGGAATCTTGTTACTGAGCGGAATGTCAAGATTGTTTGTAGATACAAGTAAAAGAAGGGTTTATTTTTGTCATATAAGGAGAAGACTGGAGGTGGGTAGCTGCTTCTGGTGTTTCAGTGGCTCTGCCATTTCACTGGCCTTTCCCTCAGAGTTATAAGATTGCTGCTGCAGCTCCAGGCATCACATTCCTATTCACATGAGGTAAAAAGGAGACGCGACTGCCATAGCTTTCCCCACTGCCCCTCTGTTTGTTTTTGTTGTTGTTGTTGTTTTGTTTTGTTTTAGGACATCAGTAGGTTTTTAGGATCCTCCCAGAAAACTTACATTTCAGTGACCAGAAGTATGTCTCATGGCCGTAGTTGCAAAGAAAACAGAAAATAAGAAGGTGGTTTTTGTCCAGCTTTTAAATAGAGTTAAGCACAGTAATTGGGAATACAATCAGTGGTAATCAGAAAATAGTTTCTGTCATAGGGTGTGAAATCAGTAATAATAGTAACAGCTAAACTTTATGATATCTTTACAATATTAGTGTAATATTCTTATCAAGGTACAGGCACTGTTACGTGCACCTTATATAGAGTACTTTATGTAAAGTACATTCAGCGAGTACATGTCTAAGCGTGCTAAACTATGCTAATTTCAAGAAATTGGAGCATTTATTCATTCATCCAACATGTACTAAATGAATACCTAACATATGGCAGTCACTGAGAATACAAAGGAACCACAGTTTTTGATTTCATGAAAGCTACCTAGTGGAGAAAATCAGCATTAACCAAATAATCACATGCAGAAATGTGAAACTGCAGCTATGACAAGTCTATGAAGGCTATATGCAAGATGCTGGGTTAGGCTATGATCCTGGGATATGACCTGGTTGGGGACGTCAGGGGAAGGCTTCCCTTAGCAAGTAACTTTTGAGTGCCTATCTGAAGGATGAGTGTAAGAAGGAAGGAAGAACATTTCAGAGAGATCATGTGCAAAAGTCCTTTAGCATAAAAAACGTAGACAATGAGTGAAGGCTGGTCCTCCAGGAGAGCAAGATTCTAGGTGAAGCATAGCCATGTTAGGAGTTTATCCTAAGAGCCATGGTAAACTGTTGAAGAATTTTAACCAGGATTTTGCATGATTATGTCTGCATTGGTTACACTGTAAAGAACGTCTGGAGAAAAAACCAAGTAGATCAGAGGAACCCAAAGAGCAGGCTCTTTTGGTGGTCCTGGTGAGAGGATCAGTAGCTTGGATTAAGTTTGTAGTGCTAGTTTAAGTGGAAAGGAGTCATATTTGAAATATATTTGGGAAATAAATCACCAGGACTTGGTGATAGATGGGGGTATGGCAGCTGAGATACATGGAGTTGTCAGAGATGACATTGAGTTTGTGCTTCTGAATGGTAAATGCTGGCATTTGCTAGAAGAGGATGATGTTTTTTCATAGATTCTGACTTTATCTTTGTATATAATAAGTAGAATTATTCTGAGACATTCAAAGGGAGCTATTATGTAGTAGGCAGTGGATATAAAGTTTAGATTTCAGAGACAGAGATCAAAGGTAAAGATGTAAATTTGTTGTGAGACATTTTTGTGTACATGATTGGGTGTGGATGAGATCATTTTGACAGAGAGTATAGTGGAGAAGATTAATATTCTGAGACTGAACCTTAAAACTGCTGAGATTTCATAGTTAAGTAAGAAGTTAAGATTGAAAACCAACAAAAGAAGTGTAGCCAGAGAAGCAGGAGAAAAAACAGGACATTACAGCGTCACGGGAGCAAGGGAAAAGAGTGCTTCAAGAAGAAAAGAAGTGGTCAGCAGTGCTGAAAGGTTAGGTGAGGTGAAACCTGAAAAGTCACCTTTGGTCTTAGCAAAATAACGGTCACTAATGACCTTAGCAGGAGCTGCTTTCGCGGAGTGGTGGGGCCACACTCCAGTTAAAAGAGAGCTAAAGAGTGAGTTAGAGGTCAGGAAGTAGAGGGCGTTAGTACAGGTGATACTGCGAAGGCTGGCCAGGAAGAAGGCAGGAGAGATCCAGTGAGGGGCTTGTTTTGTTTTTAAATGGTAGACTTGAACGTATTTCAATAGGATATCCAGTGGGATGTGTTATACCCAAGAATTTATGATTCTAAAAAAAACAAAAAATTAATTGATCACCTTTGGAGGATCCTAGAATGAATCCTAATGATATTTAAAATAAAAATATCATTAGTCACTTTGGAGGATGAAAACTGAAAAAGAGAAAGATCCAAGCAGGTATCCTATCTTTTCAAATAGGTAACAGGGGGAAGTTTCTCTTTATAGAAATGTTCCAGCTAATAAACAAAGCAGGAATAAGAATTAGAGTATCACCCTTTTTGCAACCCCGATGTGATAACAGGTTTAAGTAATAATCAGAAATGGCTGCTAATGTCACCAAAGAACAGACAATCAGACATCAGGTAAAAGTTTGTGACAACTTATGATGTCTTCTGGCCCAAAAAAATCAAACCGAATAGTCGGGCGCAGTGGCTCAGGCTTGTAATCCCAGCACTTTGGGAGGCCAAGGCGAGTGGATCATCTGAGGTTAGGAGTTCAAGACCAGCCTGGCCAATCATGGCCAACATAGTGAAACCCGTCTCTACTAAAAATGTAAAAAATAGCCAGGTGTGGTGGTTAGCACCTGTAATCCCAGCTACTCCAGAGTCTGAGGCAGGAGAATTGCTTGAACCAGGGAGATGGAGGTTGCAGTGAGCCAAGATCACGCCACCGCACTCTAGCCTAGGCAACAGAGGGAGACTGTATCTAAAAAAAAAAAAAAAAAAAAAAACAAACAAACTGAAACTGTTCAGACCTCTAGATCTAGATATCAATTTACAAGAGAAAAAGAGAATAGAGGAACATGTTGAACACCACCATGGGGATACTGTCAGCAAAATCTAGAATGTAGGAAACTGTAGGACAAATGGCTGGTGTTTTTTTAAACAAATAAATAGCAATGACAAAAAAAAAAAAATAGTTGGGGAGAGAGGGAAGAGAACCTGCATATTAAAAGAGAGTTAAAGACCAGTCACCCAGTTCCAACATACAGATCTTAATTCAGTCCTGACTCAAACACATAAACCTTTGTTTCAAAGCACTAGTGAAACATTTAAAAATTTTTGAGCACTGACTAGATATCTAATGATACTGAAGAATTACTTTAAATGTTTAAGTGAGATAAATAGTGCAATGCAATGGTTATGATTTAATAGAAAAATCCTTACTTTAGTGATACATGCTAAAATGTTTACGTGTTACATGATCTGCTACCCAATATTTACATCACAATAATCAAGGATGGATAGGGAAATTTGGTAGGATAGAGATGAA